ATGAAACACATTGGAGCCTCTTCTTGATGATTCTATTGCCAACATCTCTGTGAAGCACTTGATTACAGTGTGTGCTTATTTGCAAAGCTGTATTGAATTTCTTTTTCTGCTGAGGGCTGCTTTGCTGGGTAATTTTAAAAATAGAACACTTGAAAAAGTACTAGTTCCTGGAAACTCACAAACGTGTTTTTTTATTTTTATCTGAGATATGCTTGCAGTACATCAAATCAGTGCCACATTCTGAAGTACTGTTACGAAGGCGCGACGCCAACGCGGTCCCGAAAGCACCACTGCTCCGAACTCCGCCGACACTGTCATCAGCCGTTTGGTAGCGTAGGTTTTTCGGCTCGCGACTGCTTCTGTGCAGAGCTGCTAGATGAGCGGACGAGACGACGGTGAGTTAAGGCAAGGTTTTTGTATAGCATAGAAATAGAGGCGTTACAAATTCGGCACTGGGGCTGACAGTTTAGGGACTCGAAGAGCCGAGATGTCTTCTCTCGCACTCTGTTACGAGGCGCACCGCCGACGAGGTTACGATGGGCGCCACGAAACTCGCCGCTGCCAAGGACATCGCGCGCGCTGACTGCGAAGGGGCTCCAGCCGACGAGAGGCTTTTCAGACACTTAGGTCAGCTGCTGACGACGCCCCGCAGGGCTTTTTTTTATAGGCACCGTGTGGATATTTTGCGTAACCAAATGTCCAACCAGAAGAGCCGCTGGCCGTAATGTCAGAATCCTCTAATGGGGCCCGCCGCTGCGCATGGTTGCACCAAGGACGAGGGATGTTGCCACACATTGCGTAAGACTCACCAGAATGGAAGGCGCTGATTGCTTCAACGGGCTGAGGGAGCTCGCAGTGCGTTGCATGACAGACCGCCACTGCCGCTTGATGACGCCATTGAGTTGATCGCATCAGGCGAGCTCGATTGCTGGCCTTGAAACAGATTGCCTTTTTCAGAGGCATTGACGTTCGGTGTCGACACGCAGGCGTAACAGCACCCCCGCCGCCAAACAATGCGCCGGAAAGACGAGCTGCTTCCATGTGGCTCGGATGTCGGGCGCGCTCTTCTGCCAGGTTCCTCCAGGTTCGCCTCCTGGGTCATGGGGAGAATGCAGCTCCAGACTCCATTCCGTTAACACATCCCATTCTTGAAGACGGATCTCAGCTCCACTGGCTTGCCGCCACAACTTGCCGGCCAGATTCGCTCGTCTCTTTTGACAATATTTGGTCTCGGCACTTGTCGATGGTTCTTCAACTTGTCAAGAACGGTTCAACAACAGACGACACACGACACAAGCAAGTGTCCTCGGTCACCCGACAGAACACCAGACAAAATATAGTACACCATATACCTAGCTACGTGTCTATCGGAATTTCGTTTCCTTTATATCAAGAGGCACATGTGGGACACAAGACTCTTAAAATGAGAACTCAAGTTTTTACACGTACAATAACGTAACGAAATAGAATACAACATAAAGTTGGCCCATTGAGATCACTGTGGATGAGAGCGCTCAGCTAAGGCCGTGATGAAGACAAAATTTTGCCCCGACTGGCCAGCGAAGGACCGAAAAGGTGGAGAAGGTACTAACTAAAACGCATGTCTCAATGTGTCTGCATTAGCGTTTAGCTTTCCTTTTTTGTAGCGAACGTCAAATTTGTGCTGTTGGAGTATCATGCTTCACCTCAGTAACCGGCCACTTTTAGGCGACATGTTTATTTAACCAGGTTAGAGGCCAGTGGTTCGTTTCGACCACAAAACTCGAACCGGAGACATAACAGGCTAGCTTTTGCGCAAGGGAACAACGATGCGGCTTGCTACGGATTGGCTCCTCACAAGTTAGCTCGATATCGTGTTCAATCACGTGTTTTCAGACCGTCCCGGAAACACGACGGTCCAAAAACACGTCTTTAAACTCGGAAGCAATCCTTCTTAAGTCCTCTTTCTGGACTTCACTTAACCTAGGCTCTAGGTTCAACTGCTCCAAGATTACCTCCGATCCCCTTTCAATTACATCACTAGAACTCAAAATTTCTGCTCCCTCTTCCTCTGAAGCATCCACCAGCAGACTTGCGACCGCTTGACTTTAAACGTATGGTTTCATCAAGTTACTCTGGTAAATTTTGTTCAGCCGCCTTTCTAATTTCACTTCATAATCGGTATCAGAAAGCTTTGAAAATACTTTGGCGGGCCCTTCCCAATGAACCTCAAGCTTGTTCTTTTTGGACGACCACAGCAGCATTACCTGACTACCTACTTCAAAAGCGTACTTCTTCGCCGATTTGTTGTAGTACTCCTTCGACAACACTTGTGCAGCCTTCATGTGGCTTTCCACAAGATCTTTCGTTTTTCCAAGCCTGAGAAGGAGGTCTAAGGAGGTCTAGAATGTACGCCACTACGTTAGGGTCCTCATCGAATCCCTCCCAGGACTCGCGTAGCAATGGTGTTCTCAAACTCCTGCCATACACAAGCTCTGCAGGGCAAAAGCCAGTGCTCTCATGAGGAGCTGATCTCAAAGCGATCATAGCGGCAGGAATACCCTCTTCCCAGTCGCATTTGTGCTCGTAGCAAAGAGCTCTCAGTATCCGTTTCAGAACGGAATGCATACGCTCTACCAGGTTAGATTGCGAGTGATGGATCGAGGTGTGCACTACTTTTATTCCACATTTATTAAAAAGGTAGAGTTAAGGCAGCTGGTGAATACACTACCATTGTCGCATTGGATTTCAGAAGGAAATTCGACGCGTGCAAATATAGATAGCAGTGCGTCCACGACCTGAGGGGAATTAAGCTCCTTAAGTGGTATCGATTCCGGAAATTTTGTGGCTACACAGAGGGCCGCCAGGATGTACCAACAACCTTGCCTTGATTCTGGCAATGGCCCGACGATATCAATTACTAGGCGCCGAAAAGGTTCTGTGATAATTGGCACAAGCTTCATGGGTGTCTTCCACTTGTTCGTGGATTTCCCCGCTCTCTGACAAGTGTCGCATGAGCGTACAAAATCTTTGATATCCATCCAAGCATTTCGGCCAATAAAACTCAAGGAAAACTCTAGCCTTGGTCTTTTTTATGCCGAGATGCCCTGCCCACGCGTTTTTATGCGCCAGTTCCAATAGTTGGTGACGATACTTTTGTGGCACCAAGAGCTGCTCATACTTGCGACCTTGCGCATTTGTGTAGCTCTGATACAGGAGCTCTGCTTTCTCAAAAAAGGAAACATCCTTTTTCTTTTTTCGCAAGTTTACGCTTTCCATTAGCGCTTTAATCGAGCGGTCTTCACGCTGCTCTCGAATGAGCGTTTTTCGGTCAACCCTCGACAGCTCCGCTACAGGCGAGAGTGTTGCAACCCTCTCGCTCTGACTCAATGGCGTCATGTCGTCTCCTCTGCCGACACATACCGCGCCAGTCGCTTCGGCTACGGGCCGCTCGAGTGACTGCTCAAATGACTCGCTCGGAGGATTTCCTGTCTGAGGTTCCATTGACTCGCCGCCAAAGCCACACAGACCAGCAGCTTTTGCACTTGGTGCTTCGCCAGATTGAACAAGATCAAGTTCCTGCGAAAGCTTCCGCGCTCGCGATCGCGTGAGGGCCATGTACGCTAAGTTAGAGAAGAACTATTTACCCTGCCCTTCAAGAAGCTGCTCTGAGTTATTAGAAAATAGATAAGAAAAACGATCGGGCAGCGCGGCAGACACAGCCGCTTCGGTGCGAAGCTAACCGAACGGGCCTTCAATGCCAACCATAGCGATTGGTAAGCAAGCACTCTGCTCCTTGGCAAGTTGCCTGATCCACGCGCATTCTCCTGTAAAGTCATCTGGAGACACCATCGAAGGATGGACAAGGTCCATAGTTGCCGCTGAGTCTCGAAGGGCTCGACATATTTTCGCATTCACACTAGTTTTTTGGAGATACAGCTCCAACAACCGCATGTTCTTTTCCGATTCTCGGATTGTTGCGAAAGCATACTTTTGCTTATAGTTTATCGCGATGTGCCCTTCCTTTTTGCAGTTGTAGCAGTTTAGCGGCTTCTATGATTCAAATGCCTGTGTGGTATCAGTGCATTGTTTAGGAACCATACTCGATTTATTCGCTTCCGTTTGCCCTTCCCCTACAGTGTCCTTTGTAAGAGACGGGTCCTTCCTGAAATTACGGTGCAGAGCGGGTTTTTGTTGATCAGGTTTTTTTAAAAAGCCCTCTTTTCTTTCATCCTTTTCATCGCGCACTGCCCTGCTATGCAGCTTTTGGCAAGCATAATACTCAGCTAACTCTGCCGTCTTGTTTAGCTGTACCACCAAATTTGTCCTGCAGCCAAAGCTTGACATCCTCTTCAATGCAGTGGTAGAATCGCTCCAACGCAATGCATTCTACCACTTTATCGCTACCGTCATAAATACCTTTGCCCTTGAGCCATTCAAATAAATCAGCTTTAAGACGAAACACAGAGTGAACGTGTGACTCATTCCCCTTCTTAGCATACCGGAACTCATTCCGCTTCTTAGCTACCGGACGCCGGCCGATCCCGCAGCTGCCAACCACTGTTACGAAGACGGGACGCCAACGTGGTCCCAAAGGCGCCACTGCTTCAAACTCCGCCGACACTGTCACCAGCCATTTGGTAGCGTAGGTTTCTCAGTTCGCGACTGCTTCTGCGCAGAGCTGACAGACGAGCGGACGAGACGACGGTAAGTTAAGGCAAGGTTTATGTACAGCATAGAAACAGAGGCGTTACAGATTCGGCACTGGGGCCGACAGTTTAGGGACTCGAAGAGCCGATATGTCTTCTCACGCACGCTGTTACAAGGTGCACCGCCGACGAGGTTACGATGGGCGCCACGAAATTCGTGGCTGCCAAGCACACCGGGCTCGCCGAATGCGAAGGGGCTCGAACCGACGAGAGGCTTTTCTGACACTTAGTTCAGCTGCTGGTGACGCGTCGCAGGGCTTTTCTTTTTATAGGCACCAGTTGGATTGGAAGTTTCTGGTTGGTTGGATTGTAAGTTTCAGTTCTGTTTGGAAGTTTGTCCAACCAGAAGCGCCGCTGGTCGTGATGTCCGAATCCTTCCATGGGGCCCGCCGCTGCGCGTGATTGCGCCAAGAACGAGGGATGTTGCCAAGCATTGCATAAGACTCGCCAGACTGGAAGGCGCCAATCGCTTCAACGGGCTCGCAGGCTGAGGGAGCTCGCGGTGTGTTGCGTGACAGACCGGCGGCGCCGCTTGCTGACGTCAATGAGCTGATCGCGTGAGGCGGGCTCGATTGCCGGCCGTGACACAGATTGCCTTTTTCAGAGGCATTGACGATCGGTGTGGACTCGCAGTCATAACAGTCTTGCGAACACCTCGTAATCAGCTAAATGCATGTATAATTTCAATTATAATGCATCATTTTGTCTTGTAATTAATTTTGTATCCTCAAATAATTATTCTCAAGGACTGGAAGTGTGGTAACTGTGACAGGAAATGAAAATTTTCAGGCAGTCTTCAGGAAACACACGATATATGCAGGGCGCTATCTTGCCCAATTATCTGCTATTAATATATTAATCTGTATGTGCGATTCATTTCTGTTTGTGTTGCAGTGAAGATTAACCTATTAGTAGAGCTGGGTGAATATGAACATTTTGGGTGCGAAGCAAATTCGAATTTGAAGTGCTAGTTCGAATCAGATAGAATATTTTTAATATTTCTCGGACATTTCTAGACAATTTTTATTACTTCTAAGCGAAATTGCAAAAAAAAACGTTCGAGAGGATTCTTAAGCATGGCCTTACGAAATAGCAACATGAAAGTGTTCGGTTTTGTTAGACTGATGATGTGCAGGCGGGGTGGTGTTTCATAGTTGTCTTATCAAGGTTGAGGCAATGCAGAAGCTGAATGGTATTTATATACACGATTTGGTGTGGTCAAAAGTGTTGCCAGCAACACTATACATAAGAAAGACAGAGATACTATTGCCTCAGCCTCTTTTCCTCTCTCAACTTATGTGGAAGCCCAACTGAGGGAGTGCACCCTTTTGAGTCCAAAGTTTCAAATCTGCCTCATAGAGGTCAATCTATAGGAACATCTGAAATTTTGAATGCTAAAAATTTTTAGACTTCCTGCCCGAACTTTAGGTCCAAAACAACATTAATTGAGCCCCCACCTCTGCCAAATCACTGATCTTCATGTTGGAGCCAGCATTTTCGCGAGCCAATACATTTGCGATCGTAGGGTATCTTGAAAGGCAGTTTTGCCGCAAATGGGAATATGCTGAGGTGAAGCATATTGAAAATTTGAAGGAGTCAGTTTTAGTTAGACATTCACTGTATATGTCTATAGGAAATTCGAATAGTTCCAGTAGTAAATTTTTTTTAAATTTTAAGTATTTGCACACCTTTAGTAATTAGTGGTTTAGTTTTCCAGATTTTTCGCTTTAAACAAGTAATGGGGCATGTTGTGTTAGTTATTTAAAAATGAAAATTAGTCTTCAAGCTGCATAAGAAGCTTCATGTCTGATTAACTGGACCATATCCAGTGTTGTTGTCATATGTTCCCTCTGTTTTGAGTGTATTGTCACAGTGACTCAATAAGCAATCCATTTTTACTAATAATTAGAAAAAAACTGCAGCAACAATTGTAATTTTAGGGGCAAAGCACCAAGCCATCAGTCTCATGGGATCAGCTGGAAAGCACGCAATGGCCTGATTATCTTCAGTGCAAGTACCATGATGTTTAGTAGGTATGTAATAATTACCTGTTCAACCGTGCAACGACTGCCGTTGTGCTAGGTAGTAAGCACCTATATGTCTTAACCATTTCATTTTTTTGCAAGATTTTCTTTCTTGAAATGTTTGTTTATTTATTTATTATTTTTAAAATTTTGTTGTAGGATACTGTGCTTCTAAAAGCATATTTTTATTGATGGAAAATAGTTTAAGATATCTCAAATTATTATAACGAAGTTTATTGTCTCATGGCTTATTAGTGACTCACAATTTGTGAAATAATGTCATCATTGAAATACTGGCGAATACAACACATGAAATCATCTAGTTAGAGTTTGCTATCTCAATAATCAGTGCTTAAAAAAATGTTAAGATTTAGTATCACTGTACCAGCAACATAGCCTTCCATGCGCAATTGTTAGAAACTGCTTTAACTATAGTCAGCTGAAACTTTAGAAGTCTGCACCTTTTCCTTCCCAAAGGCGGATGCACGCAAACTGCACCAATGAGCGTGCATCCCAGACCACCCCAATCAGCTAAGCGGCCAGTGAACCCGCTTTCAAAGAACATTGCTGACTGCATGAGCAGGACTATCTCTTTAGCTGCGGAGGCATTCGACTGCCGTGCTTTAGTCCTCTGGGTGGGGCCTTTTAGGGTCTTCTTAATTTGTACCCGCCTATAGATACAACGAAGAATGCTGAGGAAGCAATGGAGCCGAAGAACTCTCAAAAAAAATTCTACTTGCCCATTGTGGCAGTCACACACCCACAGATTGTTAATTTCAGGCAAACTGGCTTTGTTTTATTTTATGAACTTCAAATATGGCTCTTGAGTACTGCAGCATTCATAGGCAATATGCCATCTTTTTGCATAATCTGTTTGCTTTCACGAAGCTAGAAAGATGGTCTGAGGTGCTATTTTGCCTGATAATAATAATAACAAGGGTAGACTGTTGCTTTCAACCACTAACAAAATGTGATTAGTGTGAAAAAGTCTTCTTGCCTTTAAAAAGGCATCGCTACATAAAATCGCAGCCCTGGGGCAGGAGGCGCTTAAGCCCAACTAGCCATCAAAAGTGGTGGGTGTAGTAACCAGCTCCTCCTTTCTCCAACGTTCAGGTTCCATTCTCCTTGTGCAGAGCAGGCAGGATATTTGTGCTAGCCGTGTCGTTGCTGCACAAAGGAATGTCATGACTGTTGCCTGTTCTCTGTGAATGTGCACAAAGTCTAGTTTGTCTTTTGTGAACATACATATATTCTGTGTGTTCATGTATTCTGATCATGGTAAATATCTGAGCCTTCTACTTGAAAAACTCCCAAAGTCTCCATATAGTTGTGACTGGGCACGCTATGTCTACTGGGCACGCTATCGACTGGGATAAAGCCTGCATCATTGCTACGGAAAGAAAGTTGTTACCACGATTGCATATGGAATCTCTGGCCATTCAAACTACTGCGCATACGTTGAAAAGAAATATTGGGACACTCCCCCCTGTGTACACGCGATGTCTACAACACGTGATGAAACATGCATAAGAAGAGCGCACTACGCCATTTGCGGTCACTGTGAACAAGGCTCCCGTGTGGGGAGCCGAAACGTCTTTTTAAGTTTTATGTATTTCACCTTGGTCGGCGTTTTTGTTTTTGTTATTTTACACTATGTTTGTCTCCGACCAGACGGGATTTCGTCGGACTCTTGACTGTAGTACTGACAAGTTCATCGTAGTTTGTGGGAAGAGCCTATACTGTAGTTTAGAATGTAAGAGCTCCTCTGTAAAACAGTGTTCTCGCTCAAGTTTCATGACTTCTGACTTTCATCTGCAACAATCACCATTCCGACCGACTTTGTCTATTATGTATTGGTTCTGCATATTAGTAGTGGCGCAGTCTTTCATTGGTTGAAACAATAGTTATGGTTGAAAAAATAGTTAAGGTTGAAACAGTAGTAAACAATAAGAAAAAGTTGAAACAATAGTTATGCTAAGAACCAGTATGTAATGTTCTACCTGATGCAAATATTTATTCAGAAATATCAGAACCAAGGAAAAAAGTTTATCGAGTTTTGCACTGTGAAGTGGATCCTGCAAGCCATTTCACCCATTGTTTTTATTTTGTACACTAAACTTGGCACTATATAATTTTATTAAAATGAAATGTGGTAGTTATTGTAATCTGACTGTAGCACAATTAAGCCTGCTTATAATGCTAGAAAAGTGAAAACATGATCAGTAAACCACATTCAGTGGTCTCGTGTGATAATTTTTTTCAGCGAGTTGTTCATTGTACAACTTCCGATTTCTCAATCCAGTTACAACACAGACCATGAAGTATTGGAGAGCTCCTGCAGTGCAATGAAAGAGCAATGCTTAGTTAATGAAACAGCTGCTACTTGCACATCTAATCTGAAAAGTTCAGTGCTTCTCCAATTAAAATCCAAGAAACCTTCAAGCATGGTTTGAAGCACGGCTTGTGTTCCTGTGAACAAGGACCGCACCACGCTGCAAGGCCACCAACAGATGCATTCTTTCTCATCAACACGGAATGATCCTGTTGCATCAACATCTCTTCAGAAGAGCCCACAAAAGGAGAGCATGTCACAAAAAACAGTCCCTCTAGCCTAGAATAGCCCACAAGCTGCTGCTTCTTCCTTTCTACCGAAGAGCCCACGTAAAAATACCAAACAGCACGAATGTGATGATCCAAGGTGTGCCGTCTTTTTTTTCTTACCTAATTTCAAAAAGATATGAGCACATGGTGTTGAATGAAAACAATGACAGAGCACCTTTATAACATCATGATCCATGAAACTGCGTGTTACGTTTCTTAAAAAAAATGTAGGAAAATCCTTGTTTTCAAACACATGCCTGCAGGACGTCGTATGCGTGGTTTCGTCTCCTTAAATTCTTGGTTTGCAGCTTATATTCACAGATAGACTACTTTGCAGCAAAATGCCATTAAGATTCAAGTCCATATACAGTGCCACTCTCGTTAACAGATAAGCCTGAGAGGAAGCAAGTTGACTGTGCATTGAAAGGACTAGTGAAAAATGATAGGATGTCAAGAGACAGAAAGACAGCACTGTTCATCAGTAAACAGACATGGGTAGCCCATTTGACTTCTGCAGTGAAGTTGCAGAATGGGTCAAGCTGGTGTATATTGCTGGCGTAAGCTGAAGATAATTAGATATTGATGAAGGATGCCTGTGGTGGACATAAGGGGGCGGTGACGGGGGTGATGATAAGGATGGTAAGGTCTTAAGGTTAAGCCTCGAGATTTAAGTGAAAAAAAAAGTTTCTTTAAATAAGTTATTAGAACTAGTTATTTTCTGACAGGTGGTGAGAAAAAAAAAGTTCCTTTGAATGCCCCCCCTTTTTTTAATTATTAGCTCAGTTGAGCAGACTGCTTTCTCTACAGCCTCTTTGGCGTATGATCTCCCCTCTTCACATTTCCTTGTTCTGTGCAAGTGAATGTGCATGTGCAGACAGAGTGGACGAAAATGGGCATGTGTTAGTGGATGATGCTTGTGGCGATATGCCATATAAAGGATTCTATATTAAAGGGACCCTGAAATACTTTTTCGAGTAACCATGGGATTAATTCACTGGGAAAGCGTATTGACTCACAAATTCAATGCCGCAAAAATTTTAAGAATCCGTCCAGTACAAGCCGAGTTACAAAGATTTGTCACACGCTGCAATCGCATTATCTTCTCTCGTCCCAACGAAAGCGCTGGAAGCTAAGCAGAGAGGAATGGGAGGGGCAAACAAAAACGTCACACCCGCCTAGTGACCTTGAGCACTTTTTTTTTCTTTGAATACCCGACTTTTTCAGTGCGACCGCACGCACACGTGTGAACAAGTTATGGCCTCTCACGGCAATCTCTGTAACAACTGAGCACGCCATGTTCAAATCAGCCAATGGCTGACAAGATGGGTAATCTATGTGTGATTTTGGAGCGTTTTTCGTCATTTGTCGAGGGAAAAGAAAGAAATTTTTAGCTGACTTTCATAATTTATTGTAAATTCCAGGCCGCGTGCTGTGCTATAACTTTTGGCTCGCGTGTTCTCAAGAGCCTCTACTACTGATCGGCAGCGTTTCCTGACCATGCTCAAAAAGTGTTGCAGGCCCCTTTAAGGAAAATGACAGCCTTCCTTGTAAGTGGCAATTTTTGCATCTGCTACTTTCATTGTAAGGGTACAATGTGAAGGGCAAATACAGGTGTAAGTAAGGTGGTTTCAACGACAGCTCATTGAGGCTGCACTAGTGTGATGGTTAAGTATCCACATTTGAAAGGGCCCTGCAACACTTTTCCAAGTAACCATCCAGTGGCTTCACTAGAGAAGTTTATTGCCTCACGAATTCACTGCTGGAAAAATGTTAAGAATCCGTCAACTACGAATGGAGTTGCAGAGATCTAGCTTTCTCTCTTCTCTCGTCCCGACGAAAGTGCTGGAAGCTAAGCAAGGAAGGATGGCTCTTCTTCATGCTTGCGTCATCACCTTGAACACATTATTTTTCTTCTCCTCTCTTTGAACGTTTGGTTTGATTTCAGTGCGAACGCACGTGCAGGCACATGGCGGCCTTCTGCGGTGGGTGCAGTAACTGTGCACCCCATGGTGCTCAAATCAGCCAATTGTCGTGAATTCGGGTATATGGCGTGGTCATTTGAGTATATCCCATATTTAGAAAGAAGGGGGATAGATTTTCAGCTTTGAAAATTAATGGTCAATTCAAGGCCACGGGCTGTGCTATAATGTTTGGCTCGAGAGCCTCGCCTACCAGTGTTGTCTGACCATGCTCAGTGTTAGAGGGCTGCTTAAACCTTCATGCTGTTAGTTACAATGTACCAACTTGCTCGATCAGCCTCCTTGCTACTGTTGGTCTATAATCAGTACCACTAGATAATCCCTGAGGCAGATTAGTGCTCTTCTTCATCTCTATGCTGTCACTATTTGGCTTGTGTGGCTCAAGTGGCTGGAGTTTCATATAGTGTTTGCATGCAATGAGGAAGTCCTGTTGTGTTCATATAATGTAAGAGTGAAGTGATTATATGCATTCTCATTACAGGAAAGAGAGAGTTGATGCAAGTCATGCAGCATCCGAGAAACTCCTGATGGTGAGTTATTGTACTGTTTGTAAAGATCGCTACAATTATACAAGGAATTTATATGGACTTTTTTACTTTTTATTTCTCAGAAACTGCGTGTCGCTGTGGCGAATGCTCTGGAAAAGAATGGTGTGTCTCAACGCAGCTTCCTTTACAAGGCTTGCGGCAAGAAGCTTTTTGATATTTGTAGTACCTTTGCTAAGGTGAGTGTGTTTGATGATTCTACAGTACGTTTGGCATTCTGAACTGGTATTTATGCATTAAGTGCTACAAAATGATCCTGTTGCAGTGGCTGGGGAATGGAATAAGATGGACTCTATTTGCTGTGGTTTGTGGGGTTAGACACATTTGTTAACCTTCATTTTATTAGGGGTCTCAAACTCGCCTCAGCCAGTGGGCCGTAGTCACGGAAATTAATCTCTCAAGAAAGGCCAAGACAGCAAAGAAGGTTAGAGCAGCAGGGTAAGGGAGGTTATGGAACAGATAATCAGCTACTCATATATTGGTAATTTCTAGGCTTGTGCGAGTAGTGAATTTCAGGTTGAAAGCGAAATTGTATTGAATAGGGATTTGGTTAAAATAATTTCTAATTGAATTCGAATAGTATGTATCGTATGTTATAAAAAAAATGGGCATATTTTTTCGTGACCTAACTACCTATGCAGTATTTTTTTTTTTACTTGAAAAAAGGCCTTTGCATTGTTGCAAGATTTGCCTTCTCTGGTAGATTTTAAGCGATAACCTGTAATACATATTAAAGCCAGCATAACACCGGCTTATGATATAAGCCAGCATAGCAAGCTTTTAAGCTGTAAAAGTTATGAATCAATGTGAGGGTATGGTGTTGATTTAACAACATGGTTGATTGTGCGCACTACTTAAACGCGGATTTAACCTTCTAGTGGGGCTTCGCGGCAGTGCGGATTTCTTTTGGATCGGTGTTTTCACGTCTTAGCACTCCTTCGCTGCAGTGAAACAACCATAACAAGAGTTACCTGCAAAGTAATATAAATTTTAAAAAGTTTGCTTAGCTTAGCATCTCTTTACGGTAGTGTCACCACCTCTACAGGGGATTACACTTTGATTGATATACTCATTTGTTTATCTCGAATACTTCGAAATTTTCAATCATATAATTTGCAAAGCAAGTTTAAATACTTCGTATTCATTCAAATATTCAAAGAATTCAAATATTTGCACAAGCCTAGTTATTTCTCAAGAGGAATTGGCATCAGAAGACTTGAACAACAAGTTATCGATAATGATTTGCAGAATGGCTTAAATCTTGATGCGAATTCTTTAATATAGAGTTTTTGTTCGGCCGCGTGAGGTGCCTCGTGAGGGAAAAAAACGGTTGAGATCAGTCGCCTCAGATTGGCATACTCAATAAAGTGTTATTTATCTCAGTAGGCGAGCAAATGATGCGAGTGCCATTTAACAATGCCAGAAAAATTGTCTCAAAATTGTACAAAATTATGGGACGAAAAAGGTCATGTGCGGCACGGGCCGCTGCAAAAACATCTGTGGTCTGAATGTTTGTGACATGTGATTTGCTCATCCTTTAAGTAGATGTGCTTTTTATGTAACATGTTTTTTAACTAAAGTAAATTTGTATGTTCTGGCTACATCTTGTACTTTTTAATGCATACAGTTTATTTGGATCTATTTGTTGTGCTGTGCATACCACTTCGCCAGTGTGCCTTATCATCCTTCTCCACCTCCTGCATCTCTTCGATCAAAATTTTCACTCAAGGGCAGCATATTGAGTTGTCAGTGAGACATAAAACTATCATTAACAATTTCGATGCTTTCAACATTTGTGAATGTTAAACCATCAATAGTGATAAAAGTCGTTTTATTGATATTAGCATGCTATAAGATGGCCCAGTGTGCTCCACATTTTCACAGCAACTTAAGCTTGGCAACTGTAACGTTTAACTCAGAGACAAGACGACGATGAACACTTGGCTGGGCCTCGCCATGACGAATGACCCCTGGCCGTTTATTTGCTGGGCTTAAGTAGCCGCGCTCACAGTGGGGAAGGGGGAAAGAAAGCAAAGAAAAGGAAAGTAAAGCGCACGAAACGGTGGAGAGGAGGAGGAGACAATATCGCCTAGGGCTAATCCTGATAGCAGATTGTCCGGTCTGTTACATCTTCTCTTCACACATCTCCAAAACACTGATTTTCTTTTGCACTCATTTACTTGATGGAAGGATGGCCCGTAGTGAAGGCGCTTCGGTTCGCTGCGCTGGCGTCCTGACCTGCGCAGGCCAGCCAGTGGGCTTCCTGGAGTGTCTGGAGAAATGGTGGCGTTATAATCTTCCTCTGGCTGAGCTGGTTGTGCCTGGCGACTTCCCAGGGGATCGTCCGGCGTGTGTTGCCTCGGTGTCCATCACTGAACTTCGTCCGCGTCGGGGTTCGGATTACCCTCGGGGCTGACCTCGTCGTTGAAGTTTTCGTCCGTTTGCAGCAAGTGTTGTCGGTTCCGTCTCAGGAGCCCATGGTCTGCCGTTCTTACCATGTATGATCGTGGTGCAGTCTCTTGTACCACTTTCGCTCGGCGTGACCAGCTTCCATGTTTGATCCGGACCACATTTCCGGCTTCCAAGGGTGGTAGTGGCCTGCCTCGGGAAGACTGTCGCTGTTTCCATACGGGTATGCTTCCGTCGACGTTGTATTCTGGAAGAGTGGCGTGCAGGCGACGACCTTGCAGTAGTTCTCCGGGTGAGTGACCGCTGTCAAGGGGAGAAGAACGATAAGCCAACAGACCAAGCCATACATCACCCCGGGACTCGTGGGTTTTCTTTAGAATACGCTTCACGATCTGTACCCCCTTTTCAGCTAAGCCATTTGACCGTGGGAACTCTGGACATGAGGTGATATGCTCGAAGTCATATCGGCGCACGAAGGACGCGAACTCTCGCGATGCAAATTGAGGCCCGTTGTCGGTGCAAACTTGGTTGGGAATGCCGTATCGCGAGAAGATAGCAGATATCTTGTCGATTACTTCCGCCGCCGTGGCACCTCTGAGTTTCTCGACGTCAGGAAAGTTAGAATGGGCATCAAACACAACTACGTAGTGTTCTCCAGCGAATGTAAATAGGTCTATGCCTACGCGATGCCACGGTTGGTCGGGCGTTGGCTGTAGCAGAAGGGGTTCACTCGGTTGACTGTATGCGTACTTTCGACATACGCTGCACGTTCGCGTCGTTGCTCAATGTCACTGCTCATTCCCGGCCAGAAAACCAGTCTACGGGCTCTAGCTTTGCACTTGTTCATACCCAAGTGGCCTTCGTGAATTCGATCAAGAATTTCCGCACGCATTGATTTAGGCACCACAACTTTGCAACCCTTTAGCACCACTCCATTGACCACGGATAGCTTTTCCGCATACGGTTTCAGTACACCGTCTATTGCCATGCCATCTTCCATTTGTTTCATGGTGCGGCTGAGAAGCGGATCTTCGAGGCTTTCCTTCATCAGCCGCAACATAGTCGCTTTGCTTATGATGCTGGTGACTACTTGCGTTGTGTGGACGTCCACGTCCTCGACTTGGTCGCCTCCGCTAGTTGGTAGTGCGGCACGAGACAGCAGGTCTGCAAGTAACAGGTCCCTACCAGGTACAAACTGCAACAAAAAATCATATTTCATAAGACGGATGAAAAACCGCTGTAGCCTGGGTGGCATATCTGCAATGTTCTTTTCGGCAATCGCAAGTAAAGGCCTGTGATCAGTTTCTATCGTAATGCTTCGTCCATACACGAACTGATGAAATTTTTCACAAGCGAAAACAATTGCCAGTGTTTCCTTTTCTATCTGGGCGTATCGCTCTTCACTCGGCGTCAGCGCTCTTGAGGCGTAGGTCACTGGGCGCCAGTCATCCCCGTGTCTTTGCAATAAGGCAGCACCAATACCTGTTCCTGAGGCGTCCGCAGTTATCTTAGTGTTTCTTTTTTCATCAAAAAGAGCCAGCAATGGAGGATTAGCGAGCGCTGCGCAGATCTGGTCTCATTCGCGCTCATGGGCTGTTGTCCACTCAAACACCGATGCTTCTTTCACCAGGCTACGCAGCAACGCCGTTTTGTCGCTCAAAGCTGGCAGGTATATCTGAAAGTAGTTCACAACCTCGAGTAATCTGCGCACACCCTGTTTATCTTTTGGGGCTGGCATGGCACGGACGCTTTCGATTAAATCGGGGTCAGGACGAATTCCGTCTCTTCCGATAACGTCGCCAAGGAATGCAACCTGCGTGGTGCCGAACACGCATTTAGCTGGATTAAATGTCAGCCCTTCCTCTTGCGCCCCCCGCCTTAGTACTGCGATGACGCGTTCCTCGTGTTCTTCCTTTGAGTCGCCCCATATTAAAACGTCATCTACGTAGACGCGCACTCCCGGCAGCCCTTCAAACATCTCTGTTAGAGTCTTCTGGAACACCTCGCTGGCTGAGGAAATTCCGAAAGACAGACGCGAAAAACGGTACCGCCCAAATGGTGTCGCAAAAGTGCATATTCGTGAAGTGGCCTCATCTAAAGGAATCGGATGAAAGCCGGCATTAGCGTCGAACCGGGAGAAGTATTGTGCTCCTGCCGGCTCGCTCTCTATGTCCTCTCGTGAAGGCATAGGATAGCGCTCCCGCTTAATGCTCCTGTTCACTGCTCTAGGGTCCATGCAAATGCGAAGGGAACAACTACGATGATTGAGGCCTTTTCCATTCGTTGCAGTTCTTGTCGCAGGCGTCCTTTCAACGCTATGGGTACTTTGCGGGCAGGCTGCACGACTGGAATGGCATCCTCTCGTAGCACCATTTTGTAAGGTCGCCTGACACAGCCGGTGCTGCTGAAGAGGTCAGGAAATGCAAGCTGGAATTCCGTTTGCTCATCGCCTGCCTTCACGGCGTCCGTCGTCACCGGTACCAGACCAAACTGCTGGCATGTCTTTACGCCAAGGATGGCTTGGCACCCCTTTTTCACGATAAAGAACGAGACTGAATGCTGTGCTTCGTTTATCTCGAGATCTTCGGTCGCCACGCCAACGTGTTTGATTGTACTGCCGTTGTAGGCGGCGAGGACAGCGGCGCTCTTTCGCGGAGTGCTTGCGTGGGCGATTCGGTTGAACAGGGTCTGGGGCAGCAAATTTGCCCGAGACCCGGTATCTACCTTGAATTGTATCTCCTGACCGGCTATTTTTCTGCGAACCATCCAATCCGCTCCTACATCTCCGGTGACGCCGCAAATGCTGATGCCCAAGATGTCAAAATTTTCATCGCTTTCTTCGGCTTTGTGAACCTCGCTTATCTTGCGCGCATTGTTGCAGCATGCGGCGAAGCGATTTCGTTTTTTGCATGTATAACAAGTTTTTCCATACGCCGGGCACCGCTCGGGGGCATGTACGTTGTTACAATTTCGACACTGAGTTCCATTCGCAAACTCCGTGCGGTGTGTGCGGCGTGTAAAGTCAACGTGCAGGCTTTCATTTGACCATGCTGCGCTCTAAATGGGAGCAAGCTCAGCGGCTTTGCAAATTTCTTCTGCTTTCTGTAAGTTGAAGTCTTTGTCACTCAGCAACTTTTCTCGAAGTTTCGCATTATTTGTCCCAAACACCACTTGATCCCTGATCATAGACTCTTCAAGCGTACCGAAGTTGCACAGCTTTGCTTGCTTTCTTAAGTCCCATAGGAACCGCTCAAAAGGCTCGGCCTCTTCTTGTGTTCGCAGTCGAAAAATGTGCCTTTCGTAGACTTCATTACCCTGGTCGACGCAATATTCTTCAAACTTGCGCACTAACGTGTCATAATCTTCTCTGCTCTCACCTGCGGCAAACGAGAAGTTGTTGTAGACATCGAGCGCCTCGTCCCCCGCGGTGCTCAGAAGAATCGCCGCTTTTACGGCCGATGGGCGGGGCTTCTCCGATTCCGTAGCGGTGATGAACAGCTGCAGCTTCTGCTTGAATACCAGCCAGTTTTTCCTGATGTTGCCGGAAAGTTACAGCGGTTCCGGGGGCTTGACGAGGTCCATTTCGAACGTCAGAATCCCACTTCTGACACTATGTAACGTTTAACTCAGAGACAAGACGACGATGAACACTTGGCTGGGCCTCGCCATGACGAATGACCCCTGGCTGTTTATTTGCTCGGCTTAAATAGCCGCGCTCATAGCGGGGAAGGGGGAAAAAAAGCAAAGGAAGGAAAGTAAAGCGCACGAAACGGTGGAGAGGAGGAGGAGACAATGTCGCCTAGGGCGAATGCTGATAGCAGATTGTCCAGTGTGTTACAGCAACCTTCTCATGAAATGTCCTGATGAGCGCATGCTATGCATACAATAGTGACAGTCATAGCTAATCATGGCAGTGGAGTTTACGTGGTGTTACTGTGCGTGCCAATAATGTGAGGTGCTTAGCATTCAAATGTCACTCTATGTGAGGTATCTTGGCCACAGAGCAAAGAATATTGAAAAAGTTGAAACTATACTATCTGCAGCAATCAATTAATGTCACGCTCCTACAATGCGGCTTAAGTACCTTGGTGTAGGAAAGCAGTGAAATGCTTTGATCTGTGTCGTGATATCCTCAATCTTGCTTGCCATCGACCTCCTCTCTTTTTCTGCACCCCTGCTTGCACGATGTTGATTGGCCGTGGCATGCGAAAGCACCCCACCAGGTGACCCCGATGTCGAGAAAATGTCGTGAAACTTCTTTCATGATGCTTTTTTTTTTCGGTTTCTGTGAATGCCTCAGCTGTTAGTCTTGCTACCACTACTACGGCCAAACTAGAAGGGAGACGTGATGCATGCTCAAATAGGAGCACACACATCGTCCCTTCAGCCCAGCTGTGTGCAGCCCAATCTGAGGAGAATTGAGAGGACTGTGTGCAAGGAGGAGATTGTCGCTGCTTTCTTAGATCATAGGGCATTAGGTGCTATGTCATGCTAGCGGCAACTGGCGACTGTCAAGTAAATCGTTATCGTTTCAGTTGTCAAAAGAACCGTATGTGTGTTGCTCCCTTCAGCTGAAGACCCTTAGTGTGAACACAAGTCACATTTGGCCGCATGTATTTTTGGTCTGATGTCCATACTTGTCTTAGCGCGCAGAAAATAAATTTTAACGTGCCCACTGAAACGAATGCCTTTGTCGTCTTGTCAAAAATGCTGTCAAAGAGAGAGTGTGGACATGCTTTGCTGGCCATTCTCGTGGTTGGTTTTTGTTTTGCCATTCTGTGGCTGTCGCTCCACGTCGCCAGTTGACGCACCTTCTTCAGCGCATGCTATTTTTGTGACATTACCTTTTCACTCGTGTGCACCGTACTAACATGATTCCGCCTCCTAAATGTTTTTTGCTCTTTGATGTAGATGCACGGAAGTGATTAGCACAGTGCATGCACTGTATCAGGCATCTGGGTTGTCATTTTTTTTTTGTTGTTGGTCGGTTACTGCTGTTTATTTGCATGAGCTTGTACTACTTGTACCAAAGTCCTTCAACATATTTACTGGTCGTGAAGCTTCACTGTAACTCTATGGGAGAGCTTTGTGTGCTGCGAGCAGAGGTGGCGGGGTGGCGTTGCATCACCGCGGGGGCATTGGGCAGACCGGAGGGAAGCTGGCTGCTGATGCCGCTATGGGGTCAATGCATAATATTGTGGCGTGCCGTCGCGTAGTTTTTCACCGTATGATTACGATGGTGCCTAGTGTGCTGTGCCTCAAGATCGGGAAGGAAACCGTATACCTGCTGGGCACCTGGTTGTTGACCCGGTTAAAAAAAAATGACGAAAAAGTCTCCGAGTTCTCACTGCCTACAGTGATCGGCGAGAAAAGTGTAAGAGCGCAACACTGTGACAAGAAACTGGTGGTTTCACATTTGTTTCCCCAAATGGGCACGTGTGTGAAAAGCACTTTGATGAGAGTGACATCGTTCACGTAGACAAGTGGCTAATCGGAGGTATTGCAAAGTTACCATGCAAGATTCCGAAACTTTTGCCGATGCTCTGCTGAGGATTTTTGACAGCCTCACGGTGTATTTGTATAGTGCAAAAAGAGGCAGAGCTTGCCCGCCTGCAAGTGTCGATTAAAACTGTCAGCGAGCTGGATACTGTTGAGGCTGCATTTGACTGTGCATGAGCCCTCTTGACATAGCTGCAACGGATAATGACGCATGTAATGAAGGTGAGCATACTGGCCACCTCTTCCTTGTTTCATGCCAGTTGGTAATACGGGAGCTTGATGGGTGAAATGCTCTCAGTTTTCATTTATACAGGTGCTGAGGTGACCAAAAGTGTTGAGGTGATATCCTGAACAGGTGGAGCTACATGCAGCTCCTCACAGCTTGAAAAAATCGAAGCACACATCTGTTGCATGCAACAGTGACTTCAAAGCTACCAATTGAAGTTTGCTTGAGTGACGGGGCAAGAGAAGTTGCACCAAAATACTGTACAAAACTTGCACAAGCTGTAAAAGCGTAAAAACTTAATTTTCGATATCAATGCATCATGACCACGAGAAGATAACTTTTTTGCATCACATGTTGACGCTTCCGGCGCGGGACGCAGTCAGTCAATTTTCACGTTTCAGGAGGCATGTTAGGCGTTAGCCTTTACTGTACAAACAATAAAAAAGGACAGAAAAAACACACCATGAGTAAGATACACAGCAAAGCAAATGACCGTGAAACTACATTGCATGGCCAACCAAACTTAGAACGTGCTACAGCACCATGGTGATAAATTAACACAAAACAGAAACACGAAAACGAGGCAAACCTCATATGAAGTATTGCCTGATCCTCATCTCTTGCTAAATTAAAAGCACTGATTTATTCAAAGTGGCCATAGGTTTAATAAGTGGGAGGCAATTTTAAGAGAACAAGAAAATAATATATCTTCGTATATAGAAACACCGAATGTATATATAGCCTGGAAGGTTGGATATGCACTCAAAAGTTGCAGCCACTGCACTTCTGCGACGCGTTAACCACCAGAGTCGTAGAAGAACTCTAGATTGTACACAAATGTTCACTAGATGCTTAAGGAAAGAACAAAAATAAGCATGCATTTATAGCGGTAGCATATCTTACAGTGGAATCGGCATGCTGTCGAATTTCTAGCTTCAAGGCTTCAATCGACCTAAATTTTACAGTGTTAGAGCTTTCCCGAATTTTCTTGAAGCTAACATCACTCTGAAGACTTATACAATCTTTACGGCTACATTTAATAAACGTTTCAGAGCTCCGGTGCGTCCTGTACAATTGCAGCGCCACGGCCGCTCCGATGCCGCGCCGTGGACGCCCCTAGGGGTGGCTCCTGTTTCTATATCAAACTTTCGCCGAAGCTTCATGACCATTAAATGTATTGAAGGACTCTGCTTGTACCAACATTTGTGTGAGAATTCGTTATAATTCTTTGTTTATTTAATTACTTGCTCATTAAATCTCTGCACTCTTACAGGACCTTATCGGCTGTGGTCGTACAAGTGAGCTGCGACAAAACATTGCAGATTCCCATGCAAAGCAGGTGTGTGTATGCTTAATTTAGTATTCAATGTCACTTTTTATGAAGTATATAATATTTGCAAATCCTGGGAACTCCATTTAGGCTAAGAAACACATGTGGATCTATCTCATTGGGGGCAGTTTAGTGTGAGACCAGCAGATGGGGATCTTCAATTCGTGCACTTGCGAACGAATTCACCACAATCTAACCTGAACATATGACTCCCCAATATAAACATGCCAGTTTTTTTTTCTTTTAGATAAAAATGCATTCATTCATTCATATATGCTTGGGCACCTGTCACAGTGTTTGACAGTTTTAGTAACCATTCGTCCAAAGGTGAGAGCTTAAGAGTTAGTGTGGACAGTAATATTGAAGGGCACAGAAAGAGATAAGAAAATTTGTTATGAAAATGCGGACAAACATTGGAAGACACTTAAGCTTCACCTTTGAGTTTAATGCGATAGCGATGTCCATTCCCTAGTGCATACTTCAACCCCTGAATGCATACTTTTTATTGTATGATGTTCCTGGTGATGATTAAATTGTGTAATACTACAATGTAATTAATTAAGTTAAATGTGGCTTTTTAGCAAATGGCTGCATTCTGTGTAATGAGTAGCATACTTTAAACCACGAGTGATTATTCGTGTATAATTTTCTAGAACTTGCTGAGCGCTTGCTGAGCACAACCTGGCCTTAAGGAAATAGGCGCAGTAACCTGTGTGCCTCTTGTAGTAGATGGCCGGCTTTATACAAAGAAGTCATTATGATAATCGCATGTTCTCACGCCGGATGGCAATGTACACTTGTACCATGCATTATTACTGTGATATTATATTTTGTATTGTGAACCATGCGTATAGGACTTGCGTCTTGTAAAACATCAAAGTTACTTTCAGTTACTTTTAGCAAGTTCTTTTCTCTGCATTTCCTTGCAAACATTTTCTGCATTTCCTTGCTCGATCCTCACTCGGAACCAAAATTTTCCATTATTTTAGTATTTGCTTTTTCTTATTTTTTAGTCATGCACAAGATGATCTTTCACTCACAAGCAATGACGCCAGCACCGGAATTCCTGCAAAACAAACTTTTTTACGTTCTTGCGTTACAATGTTTTAAACAGCCTGACAACCAATTTTTCTGAACCCAGTTTTTTTACAGCACAGCAGAAACCTCACGATTCCTAGTATTGGTGCCTGCAGTGGTTAATCCTAAAAAATAACCGTCAAGCGCTGGAGAATTGCAAGCAGCCATCATAAGTGGTTCACCAATTACTTACTGCGAGAGAAAAACTGTGAACTATTCCACTCTGTTAACGTTGATGGTAACATGGCAGAGGCCAGTTTGATATCAAAGGCCAGGTTGTGAGTGGACTCCATAATGTTCAACCCACTGTGCAGAGTCTGCCACTGCATGCTGATGACCACGCTGCAAGAAATGCACATTAAGCGATGTTTGTTTACCATGCCCACCAATAAGACCACATTCTTTGCTTCACGATGTGTGCCAATTTTTTTTTTTCTTCATGAGTAGGCTTTGATAAAACACACAATGTGTGCAAGCCAGCTTTCTCATAAATCACGCCAACGCCGATTCTTTTAAGTTAGCTTCACTTCTGAAGATAGATGCATTGCTGAAAAGACATAATCTTCCAGATACAATATGAACATTTTTATTTGAATAGAATGGCCCTAGAACCTTTTCTTAGAGTACGAAAAGGAGTGAAGCATGGTGGTTTGGTAATGATGCACATTACCAAACCACCGTGTCAAACACATGGCTGCCAAATGTGCAGATTAGCAAGAAATCTATGAATGATACCCACACTTTTGACAAATGAGTTTTGTGGAAGTAAGCAAGATGAATGCCTGCCATTGGATCATGTAATCAGCAGCTATGGTTTGTGTACTGAAGTGCAACCAGGTGTTACTCATGGAAACTGTCCCAGCAATGGACATTAGTTTGTTTATAGTACAAGCAGCTTCCACAGTAAGCGGTTAAAGGTGGACTTTAGATCGAATGGATGGGATCGTGTAGACGTAATGTTTTCCTCGTTTTGTTTAAGGCCACAGTCGGGGAGAGGTGCAGCTGGGCTTAGCTTGGTGTAGCTAGGCTTATCTGTCTTTGACAGTACCGTACCAACTCCAAGAGTGGACCGATTGATCAGTATTAGGATCTAAGTGAAATGCAGTCATAGACAGTTTGAAATTGGTCTTGAGCTAATACCAATAATATTGTATTTGAGCAAGTCTCTGGAATGGGTGGGACGTTCAAGTGTCATAGAAAGGTGAATATATGAAGGATAGTAATTACTTGTCCAAAATACATCTTTAAGTCACCATTATGCAAATGATAAGTCAAGTAATCACTTGCAATATGAACAATGTGGGACACAAGCAAGGGTGGTCACCACAACTGACCCTTGAAAAAATATCAGTGAGCAAAGGTTTCTGATTTCACATGCTTCTCAGGACCTTCCTGTGGATGCTGTGCATTTTTTATTTATCCGTGGCGTATTCAAACAATATGTATTATTCTAAAAGCAACTTTAAAGGGACACTAAAGGCAACTATTAAGTCGACATTGATTGTAGAAATAGCGGTCCAGAAACCTCGTAGTGTTACTTTTGTGCTGAGGAAAGGTCTATATTGAAATAAAATCACGTTTTAATGGTCCGATTTGGGTTAGCGCACTTCAAATTACCCGCCTCAAGAAGCAGACCGACCGGACTGACTGACTGCTATCTATATTTGCATGCGTCGAATTTCCTTCTGAAATCCAATGCAACAATAGTGTCTTCACCAGCTGCCTTACCTCTACCTTTATGGATAAATGTGGAATAAAAGTGGTGCACAGCTCGATCCATCACCCGCGATCTAATCCGGTAGAGCGTATGCATTCCGTTCTAAACGGATACTGAGAGCTCTTTGCTACGTGCACAAATGCGACTGGGAAGCGTATATTTCTCCCACTATATGTTCGCTTTGAGATCAGCTCCTCATGAGAGCACTGGTTTTAGCCCTGCAGAGCTTGTGTATGGCAGGAGTTTGAGAACACCATTGCGAATGCTACGCGAGTCCTGGGAGGCCGGGCTTTACTGAGCTAGTAGCAGCACACCGAAAGAAGCGAGAACCACAGTGGCAATGACGGCCATTGATCAATTTCTCACCATTGGCTTCGAGATTGCAGACATTTTTTATTCAACTGCACCCCTCTAGATGGCACTATCTGTCCAGTGTAACTATGCGAAAATTGAATTTTTTAATCACTAGTGCCATTCCCCATAGTAATGTCTGGCGGTTCTTTTATCCATGAATCAAACAGAAATGAACAGGCAGCATTTTCTTGAGTCTCTTGATGATTGGAAGATTCTTTATTTAGTGCAACTAGATTCATTACTAGTGATTAACTGTAGGCCGTCTGTCTCATGTCATCGCGATAATTTTGAGAATATCCTACTATGGTGCATGTGTTCTTGAGCATTTACCTTAATTTTTCGGTAAGTAGGGCACTGATGTTGATAATATTGTCGTTTAAGATGTTGTCATACATTGAGCTTTCACTCCTACATAAATTATTATTTGACTTTACTGGTCCTTTTAAGTGCAAGAATTTAAATAAGATGATATTTGGATAAAAAATTACTAAAGATTTCCTTTTTCTCTAAACAAAGCAAAGATGATCATTCAAAATCTGTTTGGTAAAAGAAAAAGCTTTTTATTATACGATATACAGAAGCATGTAATGCGAAATGCCCGTGAATGCGCAGTAAACCTATGAGCTAGTAAATAAAAAACATCCGATTTGTTATAGTATCGTAGATCATGACAGTGACTGTAATAAGACAAGGCAACAGCATGTCGCCATAATACTCATGGTGTGGTGTTGTTTACTTAGGTTTCAAATGCTTTCCATTACCAGAAAAGGAGGCGATTATGTCTTAAAAGGTTAATATCGATCTTGAGATGTTCATCCACAGAACATGACCTACATAGACTGGTGGTGTTCTCCTCTTTGTCCTATGACGCAGATGAATGTCTGGAGTCAAACAGGAATCTGCAGATATCTCAGAAATGGTACTAGCCTAGAGGCCCTTCCTAAGGTTGCTTGAGCATTGGCCAGTTCCGATTCTGCAACCTAATTCCTAGATTAAACAAGAAGTTTTTCAGCTGTTTCTGGTGTTCGCAAATCCTGATAATGTGTAACTTGCAAAATGGCTTGTCACATGGGGTAACACAAGGAGCACACAGTAACGTGGTCATCGGCAAGATTTTTCCCCAGGGGGGAGGGGGGTGCAAACCAGTGTTGCGATGCGACTGCTAGAGGGGCACCGCTGTAGCTTGGGTTAGGGCAAGTGCTGGCGAGGCTTGAAGGGGGCTTGTGCCCCTTTTGCACCCCTGCCAACCCCTGCCAACACCTATGGAATGTAATTATGAAATGGTGTGAGACGTGGCAAATGGTTCTAAACGCATCAAAATGCAAAACGATCTCATTTAGCCGTAAGCCTGACCCCTCCATTTTTTCATACCGTATAAATAATGACCCGCTCTCGCATGTTTCCACATACAAATATTTGGGCCTGCACTTCACACAAAATCTTTCGTGGTCCTCTCACATCAGTAACATCTGCGCAAATGCCTCGAGATCACTGGGATACCTACGCCGTAACTTACATTCCTCCCCCGCTAACGTCCGAAAACTAGCTTACGAAACTTTTGTTCGACCTCAACTTGAATTTGCCTCACCAATCTGGTCCCCCCCCCAAAATTACTAACCAACATGATCGAGGCAGTTCAAAATAGGGCAGTCCGATTCATTTCTCGTAATTATAATTTCTGCTGCAGCGTAACACAACTTAAAATGGATTATTCACTTCAATTATTATCCACTCGCCGCAACATTTCTCTTTTATGCCTCTTTCATAAATACGTCAATAGCACTAAAATGACCAGACTTCCAATTGAACGACCTTCCTATTTATCAACTAGACTACACAACCGGCTTAGTTTCTCGCGCATGTACGGCAAAACGAACTCTTTTAACGCATCCGCTTTGCCTCGTGCCATCACGTTGTGGAATGATCTTCCCGATAACTTGGTATCTGACACTAACCCCGTTTCCTTCCGCAACAATTTGGTCTTGCATTTTGGTTGATAATTTCATGTTCACAGTTTCGTTCTTGTATGTATATGACATTCATAATGCTGTGCAAAAAGTTTTTTTCTAATGCGCTTATTGCCCCCTTATTTTTTGTGCTTTATTTTTGTTTGCTTAGGACGAACTGTTCACACTTCCTGTAAGCGCTTTCATGATTTTCCCAGTGTATTATACCACAATCTGTGCCATTTTACTTACACATATTGTACACTTCCTAACTGCTGTGTGCCATGAACTGCATCTTTCTAGTTTTTTGATAACGATGTATGATGTCAATTTATACTTACTTATTTCTTGTTTATTTGTTACTCATGTCTTGAGCTTACGTTTTGGCACCTTTCGCCCTTTTACTTGTTGTACATGTCTTTGTTAGCCCCCCTTACTCAATGCCCTAACCAAGGGCCTGTAAGGTACCTGTAAATAAATAATAATGCCCCACTGTTTAATTAAAACATTGTTTGTATGAATAACTCAAATTATTATTTTTGTGGGCACCATAGCTTTGCGATACTTCCCGACTAAAGAGTAGAGAGGCCCTGTCAATAGTCTAGAAAGCATGCACGTTGACTGTTAGTCTACTACTGCAATGACTACAAAAAGGCTTTTATGCTCATGGGCTCTGTGGAGAGCAAAGATGATTTCTAGGACAAACACTGGGCTTTCCACTTTTTTTCAGCTGTTTTATTACATCTTGTGCATAGAAGTCGATGGTTTAAGAACAGCTCCTTCTCCTGCTTACTAGCTTCATCAGCAAGCAGTGGCCATCCCTACAAAAGTTATCTTCTCTTTTTTTTAACTTTATTTGAGTGAAAGTCTTTTCAGTGGCAATTCTGTTAGCGCGAAACACATTGAAATTATCTCTTATGGTACACTGAACACTTGCAATGTGATTTTTTAGAGATAGCAGCAACCAAGCTAATTCACTGGAGTCGTTCACATTTTATTTGCTCCCTTTTAATCAAATCTCAATTTCAATCTGCAGTGTGATGCACAGTACAAAATTTAATTATGGAGCTTTGTATCAGTAAATCTCTAAACTATTTTCTGAAAAGATTTGTTATTATTGACTAATCAGTTTATGGGTGGCATGGATTGGCAATCAAAGCTCCCAGCAAGACAAGTGCTTCTATGCTTAGAAAAATGAAAATATTGAATGGAGCAGTTTTATACAGGAAGGTTGTGAAACCTAATGTGTTTCAAGAGTTCATAAACCAAACTTTGTGTGCAGGTTTCCAGTTCGTGCGTGCTGAAGGCTTCGTGGTTGGGCACGTGGCAGATGAAGGTATTATGGAATGCTGTGCCAGCGAGCTATTGCGCTACAGACGCATTATTGATGCTGAGGACATTCTTGTGTTTGCAGACAAAGAAAAACACTGGTCAGCATCAGGGAGTTCTTTAAACATTATATTGTTGTTCCAGTCATGCCAATTGTGTTTCATTAATGTCTACATGTAATTTCATTGGCTGCTTTCATTGTTTCCAGGATGCTGACGTCACTTGTGATTGCATGTGAACTGCAATCACAAGTGACGTCAGCATCCTGGAAACAATGAAAGCAGCCGAATTCTTTCAGTGTGATGGCATCATCCTGACTGGAGGTGCAACAGGCCTGCCACCCAGTACCACTGAACTGCAAGGTGTGCACTTGTGAAATGTTGCTTCTGTTAAAAATGTCATGAGCCAGCATAGTTTTGTTTTTTGATTTTGTGCAAGCACACATGGCTGCCAGTAATCATTTACAGGCAGAAGCCACTGTAATGTTGCATACTTGGATTACAGCCCTTCATCATATCAAGCATTACATGTGACCAAGTGTATTACTGCTTTTTAGAGGTGAAAGCAGAAGCAACAGTGCCCGTGCTACTTGGATCAGGAATCACAGAAAACAACGTTCAAGATTTTTTTACAGCAGATGCAGTGATTGTGGGATCATCATTTAAACATGGAAATATCTGGAGCGGTGCACTGAATGCTCTGCAGGTGGAGGCATTCATGGAAAAGGTGCACACTACGTCAAACATTATCATATTCATCTTGACTCTGTAATACAAAAGAAATAATGACAACTCTGAACTGGAATGTGGCATAAATAAAAGTTTTAATTTTTTTTTCTTCCCATCTTTTTCAGGATGCATCTAAACATAGTAATAGCCTATTGGAATATTGGCCATCATTCTATAAATAACAGTTATACAGTTTTCATGGTTAACATTTGTTTCGTCATACAATATTTTTATCTCTGGTATTTTCAATATGAAGTGCAGAAACTATAAAACATTTTTAGTTGGATATATTCCGGTGACACAGTACCACACAACATATGCATAGTGAGTACACTTTCCAAGTGCATCAGTAGTGAAGCATGATCAATCTGTACAAGTATGTTTTCTTGTTGTACATCTGCTGCACCTATGTGCACAAGAAATAGTGGATAGCACGATACATGAATTCATAAAAGAGCTTTCAATAATATGCATCCATTGAAAACTCGACAGAAAGGCTTAGCCAAGTAACTTGTCAAAGACCGTAAACTGCAGGGGTACAAAAATGCCATAGAAGTAACTACGAAGTGCACAAATCAAAGTTAGTGCCGTTTGTAAGCTTTACGCTTTTGTAGGACACTGTCACGTACTACATACTGTCATTCACAAAGCACAAATCTAAGGTGCTGGAAAACCGACATATTAACAGTTGAGCCTTCCATCGCAGCAGTTTGTAAATATATTTTTCTTTAGATCTGCATAGGTGAAGTTCAGCTCAGAAAGAAATTACTTCTGGCATTCTATAATTAATTACACAGAAAAGTATAGAATTTACTATGAGTTTGAGGCCATTTTTTTTAGATTTTTAAAAAGCTTATGATAGTGCTCGGAATTAAGAAGTACTGCTGTAAAGCGGATGCAATAACATGTCACAAAAAACACATTCAATATACATATAGCATTTGGATCACCACCAATAAAATAAGTGGGAGTAAAACGACATTGCGCTTTGCCCAGTGTACCAGAAGGCAACAGAAAAAAAAGAAGAGTGCCTAAAAAGTATGGCTAATTCAGTATATGCCCGCTACTCATTTTACCTTTGCAGTATCCATCAGGTAAAAAAAAGTATTGAAAGCTTTACAGACATGCAAGCCAGGGATGAATTTCTTTCAAGGTGCTTGAGTCATCGGTATTGATGAAACCAGCAAGGCATACATTGCATAAAACTTGATTTACACTCAGATTTTGCTGCAAGCATTTTCTAGCAGTTTTACTTGTATTTTGAAACAGTTCAATGAGTTGCTATTGCTTGAATTAAAGCAATATTGTTTTAAGACATGCACACATTTTACATGCACCCCCTCTCCCTGGACAGCTCCTCCCCTTAAATTCTTTTTTTTTAACATTTACATTTTCCTTGATGGGCTTGCTTTTACACACTGTAGGGCCATGGACTAGACTTTTGGTTTCATCTTGCTGTATTCTTTGGTACATATATACAACTAAGGATTGCTGAGCTCACACATGCAGTCACAAGTCGCACATCTCACAGCAGGAAGGTGTCAGTATAGTATGCTATATCATTCATAATATTTAGGAAATGTGGTTGGACTGAGTTAGGGGTTGAAAACCCAGCTTTTCACCTGTGGATATGCAGCCTAGGTTGCTGATATTGCTAGGCTTTGTCTGGCAAGCCCAATCCCACGTATGCAAATACAACAATTCTAACAACTTTCTACCACAGGTACTGCTACAATTATTAGGTGCTTAAAATGAGGCAGCATTTGCCAACAGCTGTAGATTTTTTTCTCATGGACTCAGCTTCGAATGCATGTAGAGGGATCACAAATACTCTACAGTGTTAGCAATAAAGTGTTATGAAAATTAGCATTTTAATGCAGCATATTGTATTAATATAAGCACCATGTGTGGATAACTCTTTAGGCTAAGCCATTGGCTCTTCCACATTTGGACAGGGATGGTATCTTGTGGCGAATGTATTTTGATACCACATTTGCGACCACGACCCTTCAGTCTCACCAAGGCTAAATTAGAAGCATGCGATTATAAACAGAAGGTGCAGAATTTTCAGGGACAGAACCAAGACATTCATTAGCACTTCTCACTGTATGGTCAAATTTTTAAGCCTCCAAATATTTCTGCCAGCATTCCACAGCTACTTACTGCATGTGCATGATGAAATTGTGTTTGTGGGATACCAACACAACATGTCTTGTAGAGAGAGGGGGTGCAGGCCCCATACAAGGGTGTGAAATGTGAACCAGCAGTCTAGCTGAGTAACACGTATTTTGTGCTCCAGCTGGCAGTTGTTAATGACTTTTTTTTTGGCAGTTTGAATGCATATTTATAAGTACATTGAATATTCTTCTTCCATAAATCAGAAGTCAGCACCTGTACATTTTTCTTTCACAGAGGTGGCTCCTTCACAAAGAAGCATGAAACAATATTGCTTGCAACATGGGTGCCGCATTGGCCATTTCACCTTTGTGCAAAGGCACGGGCTTTGTCGCTATTGCAACAGAAAGGGTGTGGTGCTGAAAAGTTGACTTAGGTTAAGTTATTGAAAAGGAAGAGGTGCATAACCGTTCCTATCTTGTGTGCAGTGAGTAGAAGACAGACGAAAAAACAAGTGGTATAGTAAACCAACCTTAATTTAATTTCAGAACACATTAGCTGTGCAGTTTCAACATACTTCTACATACTAATACTATTGATGCATTTGGGCAATAAATGTATTGGGCTTTCAGTATTAGTTGAGTGTCAGAAGAACCAATATATATATATATATATATATATATATATATATATAAAATATAAGAGGTTTATTACTTGTTAAAGACAGCGGCGAGACAGCGTGAAAAACTGTCCAGAGACCGGCACAGTAGCGAACCAAAGCTCGAGACGAGAGAGCTGGACATTGGCGATGCTGCTCGCTGCAGGCACATGTTTTTCTCAATCGCCCCCGCTGAAAAAGGAGCCATCCTGGTGGCCTAAGAAGTTTCAGGCAGAGGTTCATGGTACGATTTCAGGCGGGAAACATGAACGATGTCACGTGCACGGCGGCGCATGTTGTCCGATCGAGAAACTGGCTCAATTAGAAAATTAACAGGAGAGATTTTCTCCAAAACGGTGTAATGCCCCTGGTAGGGGGACAAGTTTCGAGGAGAGTCCCGGAGTTTAGTATGGGACGGCGAGCCACACAAGAGACCCTGGGGCATAGCTGGGATCTGGAAGGGCGGTGCTACGGTTTTCTTTCTGGTATTGCTGCTCATCTGAGGTGAACGTACGGGTGAGCTGGTGGCATTCTTCGTCTTGTCCAGCTGCATCGGAGATAGGTAGACACTCTGAAGCATTAGAACGGTAGGGAAGTGGGGTAGCAATTGTATGGGAAGGCTTGCGTCCGTAAAGAAGAAAAAAAGGTGAAAATCCCGTGGTTGTTGGTTGTTGGTTATAGCGAATGTGACGTATGATAGAACACTGTCCCAGTTGCTATAATCAGATCTCACGTACATTGAGAGCACATCACCCAGCATGCGGTTAAACCGTTCCGTTAGTCCGCTAGCGTGCGGGTGGTATGCTGTCGTTTTTTGATGAGCGACGTGGCATTCCGAAAGCAGAGTTTCGACAACCTCGGAGAGGAAAGCACGGCCTCTGTCAGAAAAGAGCTCTCGAGGTGCGCCATGTCGAAGGATAAAGCGACGTAAAATGAAAGATGCGACATCCTGGCGGTAGCGCTCGGCAAAGCGGCTGCTTCAATGTATTTCAATGTAGCGTGTCAGGTGGTCGACCGCCACTATAATCCATCGTTTGCCATCTGGTGTCAATGGAAGGGGACCGTAGAAGTCAACGCCGACGCAATCAAATGGCTTGGCAGGGAGTGGAAGTGGCTGCAATGCACCAGTCGCACGTAGTGGTGTTGATTTGCGTCGCTGGCAGTCAGGACAGCACTGCACGAATTTGCATACAAAATTGTGCATGCCGCGCCAGTAATAGCGATGGCGAAGGTGTTCATATGCTTTGAACACCTCGACATGGCCACATTGCAGATCGTCGTGAAGAGAAATGCATAATTGCGATCGTGAAGTGCATGGAATAACCAGTAGCCACCGGCGGCCATCGAGAACGTAGTTGCGTCTTTAAAGAAGTTGATCACGGATGGAGAAATGGAAAACTTGACGTCAGAGGGATCGCGATACCGAAAGGTTGGGCGTGTCGGATTGATATTCGAGAAGAGATGCGGTCCACGGGTCACGATGTTATTCAGTGGCAATCAAATCGAGATTTACGATGACAAGGTCTGGAGGCAAGTGTTTCCACACATCGCCGCAAGGGGAACAGCTTGGGCAACCTCTTACAAAATAGCAGTGCTAAGCGGGGCAGGTAGACGGGTGGTGGTCTCGTGAGTAAAGGGCACTAGAGAAAGTTCGGGGGCGACTTCCTCACGGACGAAGGCTCAGACTTGCTGAAGCAACGATGAATTGTCAAGCACGGTGTCGAAACTGAACAGCGACTCACCAGCATGCTGAGGCTGCCGAGTCAGAGTGCATTGCTTCTTCAACTTGTCGTAGCTCTGACACAAGCTGACGACTTCAGAAACTGTGCTCGGATTCCTAGCCAAAAGCATTTGAAATGCGCCATCGTCGATGCCCTTCAGAATGTGTTTGACCTTGTCAAATATGGGCATGGTGTCATTCGCACGTCGACAAAGGTCGACGACGTCCTCAATATAGCTGGTAAAGTTTTCGCCAGTCTGCTGAGAGCGGACGCGCAAGCGCTGTACTGCCCGCTGCTTGCGGACAGCTGGGCGACCGAACACTTCAGCACATGACGTGAAGACGCTTCATGTGGAGACGCTCCATCTCCACAATTAGGCGACACAATTAAGCCATGCCAGTGGGATAAATATGATGTGGCACAGTTTGTCGGCTTCATCCCTTTTTTTATTGGCGCTCACCAGTTCGTAGTGCTCGAGCCAGTCTTCCACATCGGTCCCATCCGCACCGCTGAAGACCTTTGGGTCCCGTAGCCTGGGATGGCCTGGGCAGTTGACGAACAGGGTGTAGCGACGGTGATAAATAGCACCCTCCACCAAATGTGACGAGGTTTATTAGTCGTTAAGGGCAACAGCGAGACAGTGTGAAGAACCGTCCAGAGACCGGCACACCAGCGAACTGAAGCACGAGCCGAAAGAGCCGCGCGTAGGCGATGCTGCTCGCTGCAGGCTCAGAGATTTAATAATAATCCTAATTGAGACATTCTTGGGACAGAACTATCAACAGGATTATCAACACAACACAGGGTGGTCCTAAATTATTAGTAACTTTTATACTCACAGATATGATTGGCTCTTCAGTTTGCATATTTTGTCCTGCTAATATGTAAAATATTGTTGTTATACTGTAAATGTAATGTTTTATATATATAAGGAAAACTGTAGGCAATGACACTTATACATTACTGCAACTGAAGAGCCAAATATATATGTGTGAGTATAAAAGTTACTAATAATTTAGGACCACTCTGTATTGTGTTGATAATCATGTAGATAATTCTGTCTCAAGAGTGTCTCAATCAAGATTATCATTAAATCTCTGAGCCTTAGTACGTGGCCATGTTAAATTGCATTCTAGGCCAATGCCAAATTAGAAAAACTGGATTGATTGATTTGTGGGGTTTAACGTCCCAAAACCACTATATGATTATGAGAGACGCCGTAGTGGAGGGCTCCGGAAATTTCGACCACCCGGGGTTCTTTAACGTGCACCCAAATCTGAGTACACGGGCCTACAACATTTCCGCCTCCATCGGAAATGCAGCCGCCACAGCCGGGATTTGATCCCACGACCTGCAAGTCAGCAGCCGAGTACCTTAGCCACTAGACCACCGTGGCGGGGCTTAGGAAAACTGGAAGACGCATAAGATATTCTAGACTTGTCAAGCTTCTCTCAAGTCTGGATATACACGTTTCTTTTATAGGTGAAACTATTATTAGCATAATAACTGAAGGAGTAGCTCAGTAGCATAAAACGCTCCGTTATCTGCCACAGTTCAATAAAAATATGCAAAATCATTTTCACAGTCTTATAATATAGAGGCAAAAATATATCATGCCAAGGCCCATGACTCTACTTGCCTCTTGAGGTGGGGACAGGCAAGTATGAATGAGCCAAGATGTCACTTTTACTGCCATCTGGCCAGTTGTAAGGACCAGTTGCAAGAGGCAGCAGCCTTCTTTTAAGCACTGTGCAAGCCTGTGTGATGACATTTTTTAGGTACTTTCTTTTTTTTAGTATATTTAGCAGAATCCACATCCAGCTAAAAATTCTACTTTGAAAACACAAGCTTTCTTGAGTGAAGCTATGGTACCTAAAAGGCAAATGTGAACTATTAAAATCTTGTTTCTATGTATTCTTGTGCAAGCTCTGCATAATAGGGACGGATTCGTGAGGAAGGTGCAAAGGTGCTGTGGCTTCCAGCACCACAACCAAACCATGCGACTGTTTGACTGCTTGTCATAAGGTAAGAGATCTTCCAAACGCAAAAGCAATGAGGCAAAGCCTGTTTGTTTGGCCAAACACCTTATTGCAGAGATGATACACTGCGGACAAATAAGCAGCAGGTTTGCTGAAAAGCTAGCTTTATGGGTTTAGTACAGGAAATGTGGGTTAGAGGTCACAAAGCTGTACTGCAACAATACCATGCAGCAAGTGTTCACATGTTGGTAAGCTAAAACCATATGGTCAGTAAGACTAGTAAAATGAAGAAAGGGCAGATTTAGCACTCTGAGAGCTTGGCTGTTGGCAATTTGCACACAGCACACTGTGTGTGCACACCCGCAAAAAAGTATACCGTATATGCAGAAAGTAGTTTAGGTGCCCAACTTTGTGAACAGTGTTAATTTCAAGGGGGAGAGTACTGAGGTTTCAGAGAGAGAGGGTGGTGCTCTTAATGCTACAAACTCTGGCACTGCTAGCCTTTACCTCTGGTGTGTTTTGTAAACTGCTCATGTTATTTTTCATTATATGTGATGGCAGTGTAAAGGCATATCAGAAGCAGTCATAGTTGGCATACGCTCATGCATGCATACGTACGCATTTATACAGAGAGTTTTACGTGGTTATTTACAAACACTACATGCATCCACAATAGTTGGTCAGTAGCTAAGACACACTATATTATATATATAAGGGGAAGAAGCCATCTGAAAGTTACTTCACACTGATAATTTTTAATGCCTTTCTTTTATTTTTTTATTTTTTATTTTGCCACGCATTTTTGAGCTTTTATGTCTTTTTTTGTTGTTTTGTAGCTATGTATTTCTTGCGACCTACGTGCACAAGGTTACAAAGCTAAAACATCCAAGTTTTTTTTTTTTCTCTTGCTAGTTCAACATACCAGCATGCACTACCAAGCTTTTATTGATACATAGGTTGTTTTTTTTTTCATGCTTATTCTTTTACTTTTTTTTACACCTTTGAGTTCTCTTTTCTGTGGGCAGGTAAATGGGGGTGCAGGGAAATCATGCATTTAGGTTCTTTACCTGTATACATTAAAACAGGCTCAGTGCCCTAGAGAATGTACAAACTAACTAAAGTAAGAAAACAAAGCAAATTTTGGTGCAAATAGCAACAGACTATGGTTATACAGCTCCCCTGAAAAGGAGAGTGAGATGGCTCTCAATGTGGTCTTTACAGCTTTCAGATGACTTAGTGCCTTACAGATACTTATTTTGCCGTCTCTGTAGCAGCCCAGGTGATCCAGTCACCATATATACTCTTAACAATAGGGCAGATGGGAAGACTGCAACAATGGCAGAATTCAATCTCCCTGATTAGCATCGAGGCATGATAAAAAGCTCGTTATATATACAGTGAGAGTATCAGTTTTTCTCGGTATTTATATATGTACAGATTCTTGTCTCTACAGGTCCAATGTTTGAGACACTGCCTCACAGATGCTTTAGATTCATTTGAATTTATTTGCACTAGAGTGGTGCACAATGAAAAAATGTGACTTTAACATAAGCACACTGTCCTCAGTTACTTTTTGAAATGCAGGAGTGCATAACTTTTTAGCAGAGCTTTAAGTAACCAGTATCAAGATTTATGCTATACATGAGGTCAACGAATCAAGGAGGAGACAACAAGACTGACAAAACTGGAAAAAAAAATACCTGCTGAGATCTTTGCTTCCATGTGTTACTTGCAGTTGCATATGATACTCTTGCAAATCTTTATGTAAAGAACAGCAAGGTAGTCTGAAGACAAATGCAAATTAAATATGGGAAGGGTGCTTACAAAAGATAGTAGCTCTTAACAAGTGTAACTTCACATTTTTTTTCTACTTTGAAGAAAACTTGCGCTCAGATATCCTGTTTTCAGATGATAAATGATAGCAAAATTTGAACAAAATGGCAAGAAGTGTGAATTCTTCAAAATCATTTCATCATACCAAGAGACATAAAAGTGCAGTTTTTTCATGTTGCAGTATGCATTGGCACCGAAATATGTGCGCAAGTCCTTTGCTGAAGTAATATTGTTATATTATGGAGCTTTGCATCTATGCACATCAATGCACATTTACATCATGTCTAATATAAAGTTGTCACAAAGAACAATTTTAACAGAATGGGCTGGAATTAAATGTTCATAATTAACAGATTTTGAAAAAGAAATAACTAAAATTTTGGAGACAAAATTCTATATCAAGAACACTTTACAGCAAAAAATCTAATTAAAAAAATGTTTGTATCACTAGTTTAAAAAAACCGCTGTAAAAATATTCACAAAAAGTATGTCTTTAAACACTATATGACACAAGAAACTACACAAATACAAATGACAAAATAACACCAGTTTCACAATAGGAGCAAACAAATATCTGTGTGCGTCTCCCAATAAAACAGCATACTGCACCCTACTTTAGATACACTACGTATTTAAAACAATTAGGCTTGTGTAAATATTCTAATGCTTTGAATATTTGAACAATAGTAGAGTATTTGATTTTGCTTCATTTCGAATTTAAATTATCGAAAATTTTGAAGTATTCGCAATGAACGAATAGGTGTATATAATTCCGCATGTAACCACTTGTAAAGGTGGTTTCACTGCAGTGTAAGAATGCTAAACAGTAAAAACACATAATAAAAAAAATCACTCTGCAGTGAAGCTTCACTTCACATTTAAAGGGGCCCTGCAACACTTTTTGAGCTTGGTCAGTAAACGCTGCCGATCGGTGGTTGAGGCCACCAAGAACACGCGAACCAACTATTATAGCAAAGCACGTGGCCTGCAATTCACGATAAATAATCGAAGTCAGCTAAAGATGGCTCTCTTCTCTCGGTAAATGACGCCACAAGCTCATAAATCATTTGTCCCATCCGTTGTATCGGCCATTGGTTGATTTGAGCACGGCGCGCTCTATTCTTACTGGAGCCATCGTGGGAAGCCGCCACTTGGCAATCGCACTTAGAAGCCGTGTATTCGGAAAAAAAAAAAAAAAAGAAAGAAAAAGTGCTCAAGATCACGAGGTACGTGATGTATCTTCTTTCCCCGTGCCATCCATTCTTGCTTAGCTTCCAGTGCTTTCACCGGGACGAGAGGACAAAATGCAATTGCAGCGTGCTACAAATCTTTGCAACTCTGCTCATACTGGACGGATTCTAAAAATATTTACAATGAATTCATGAGGCATAGCTTCTTTAGTGAGTCCATTCCATGGCTTCTTGAAAAAGTGTTGCGGGGTTCCTTTAAATGAAATATTATTGTCAAATCGATTCATCATTTTTTAAGCTTAAAAAGATTGTTATGACGGCTTATATACCCTAGGTATAAATTTTAAAATGTTATGTATTTTACAGGTAATTACTCGTATCCTATTGAAAGTAAAATCCTGCTACCACTCAAAGTTGTTTCGACTTTTTATGAAGGAAAAAAAAAGACATTTGCATAGACGCCTTATTTCAATTTTTCAAACATATTGTGAAGGTTAGTTAGCTCATGATAATATACCCATTTTTTTTATATGTCATATATCTGTTCGAATTTGATTTGAAATTATTCAACCAAAATCACTATTCACTTTGAATTCACTTCGGACCTAAAATTCACTATTTGCACAAGCCTAAAAACAATGCTACACACTTGCTACTGTAGTGAATTGTTCTGCTTATAGAGTTTTTCTTCAGCTGAGTAAAAGTAGCTACTGTAGTTTCCCGTGTGATAACTACAGTAATTATCTTTCTCTGCACATATCTGAGCACTATGTGTAGTTGGCCCTGAACACGAATCATGTTAAGTAAATGTAATAAGAGCTTTTTCTGACATGAACCATTGCCCAACACAGTGGTTCATGTTTGTAAACATAGAACAGATTTCTTTCTGTGATATGGTGCCAACCTGTTTCAACTATGGGAGATGTCACTACAGTAATGATAGTCAGACTTCCGTTTACAATCACAGTAGTTCCAAAAAACAAGAAAATCCTCTGGGGCTCATCAAATGTCTCAAATTCATGAAACTGGTCACTGGCACTTCTGACATGAATGCTTTTAGGAGAGTGTTAGCTTCTGTTTTCAAGCAGTGTTTAAATGCTGTGCTGTTTCCTTAGTAAAAATTTCAGTCAAACATACTTTCCTTAAGTTTTTAAAAATTATTTTTCTTTCTTACACAGGCAGATCAATCCATCTGCTCACTTTAAAATTAAGATTTCCAAAATAGTACAAATGTGAATCTGCACTGTGTGCATAGAGCCTGTGACATGCACAAAGCCTGCTCCCGGCCACAACATTTCACTTTTTCTTCGTCTTTTTAGGCAAGCCAGTGAAGTAACAGTAGATTTCGTAAGCCCCACCAGTCCCCACCACATTTGTCCTCTTGTTTTCTTCCTCCGTTTGTGCAAGTGCCAAAAGCAGAGTCTCTTTGTAGTAGTAATGACAAGTTAGCACTTGCGGTTGTTGTTCGCTCCTGAGCGGCGTGCGGCAGTGCGATCACGACGTTTGGGGTGTCGGTTGCCAGTTTGCACTGTGCGGTTCTGCCGCTCCAGTTGGCCTCGACCCAATTGTCGCTGTTCTCGCTGCACTTGGCTACGCTGACTTGGTCGTAGTTGCTCCAGCCAACCTGGACAATCGCAATGCGTATTCTTGAAAAGCCTCTTTCCAACATCATGCATACATTCCACAACTGAAAAACATACAGCTGTAAAGAAGTGGTAAAAGGTTATTCTACACTTTTTGGCCTCGGATAGGCCTCATCACCTTTAAATGAATTCAGAGAAATCTCTGTTTATTCACATGAATTCCCTTTAGTAATGTTCACACTTTACAACGCAGAGATAGCACCCATATGAGTGTTGTGAGTGCATATGGTTTCCTTTAAAGAGCCCTGCACCAAACCATGTTAAAAAAAATTTGGGGACCCTTAAGCTTCACCTTTAAGAGTTGAACATGATAGCAATATGCTGTCCCTAGTGCATTCTGTGCAATGGGTACCATGCTTTAAACCACAAGTAATTATGCACGTGAAATGTCTTCGAACTTACTATGCACTCTCTCAGGTCTTAGTAGAATAAGCACCGTAACGTGTATACTGTTTGTAGTGGGTGACTGGCTTTAAACCACAAGATAGTTATAATCACCTGTTCTGACACCCGATGGCAATGCTGCTTGTACCACACAATATTACTGCGATATTACATATTGCTTTCTGAAGCCTGTATACAGGACGCATGTGTTAGTAAAGCATGAAGGTCAATTTTACTGCATTTATAAACAGAGAAAGTTCCTTTCACTGTATTTCCAAGCAGACAAATGGTTGTGTGGTAAAACACCTGGTTGCCACGTAAACGACCCGGGTTTGATCCTCAGGTTCGTCACTGTTACCGAAGATTTTTCTTATTGATTTTATTTGTATCTTTATTATTTTGTCATGGACAAGATAATGACTTTTCGCTCACAACCAATATCGCTGATGCCAACAATTCTGCAAAATGAGCTCTTTCATGCTTTCGCATTATAATCTTACACAGGAGTTTAAAGAGTCATTCAGGGAGCACTTAACCACAGCAATATCTCAGGGATGTCATCAAGCAGCAGTACAAGGTCAGTTACCTTTCCCATGTGCTCCATAAAGGAGCAAGACTGCGGTATGCCGGGACCTATGTGCAACATATTCCTCTCCTGCTTCCTCCCTTATTGAAGCCAAAGACTTCGCCTTTGTTTGGAGTCTTTTTTTTTTTTTTTGACAAGGATATTTGTTGGCAGACATCAGAATCAGTGTGACTTTCACCAACTTGACTATACAACTTCTCACTAATTGGTTCATGGCATTTTTAATTTATTTATTTCAATATACTGCGCACCTTCTCGGTCCAATAAGGTCCAAGTGAAAAGAGATGGTCAGTGTTCAAGGCGATTCCACTAACTTGAATAATTATACCATAAACCAGTAAAGTTAAATCAATGTGTCTTGAAGTTCACTAGTATTTAGCAATGTTTTGTCTTCTGCTACATTTTAAGGAAGCGATCTGGGAAAAAGTGAAACACACCACTAATATATTTTACCACAAGTTTTGGGACAGGTATTTCGAAACTGATTATTTGATAGCATAAACAGTTGTACCACCACGGTTGCTACATGTCCGGTTCTAGACCAGCCAGATTGCGAACCAACAAGCCCAAACTTCCACCAGCTGCGTTGTACATAGGGTTGCCACTGACTTTTCAGTGAAATTCGCCAAATGGTGAGTGAAAAGTCGCCATTCTTCTTTGAATATTGCCAAAAAAGTCTCCAATCAATATATGTATGACAAGCCTAGTAATAAAGATTGCTAATTATGTATTGTCCCCTGGAATACAGTACCATCCATAAACCCTAAATTATATTGTGGGCATTTAAAGCACGCTTCTTCATCACCTGTACAAAACCATCATCACCTAGTGTTCTTCATCTTCATCGTTAGTGGGGATAACCCTTGAGTCGGTTCTGCGCCTCGGAGGTAACTGTTTTTTGGCCACGTCTTCCAGGCCTAATAAAGGCGTGTAAAGGACTACGTCCAAATTTTGACGTTTTTCAATGCCAGTTGAATTACACACTTCACTATGAGAGGGCTCACTGGGCTTGGAGTCCCATCACCCGCTTTCACCATAGGAGCACTGAGAAAGGGCATGCATGCACCAGCTACATAGCTGAAGTCTAGTGCCTCATAATAAAAGGTTGTGATGGTTTCAGCTGTATTGAATACAGGGTGACACAATCGCTATAACAAGAGAGAGACAGCGTGCATAGCTTTCCTGCAGATTTTAGAGAATATCATTGCAGTAAAATACTGTCAACTTAATTACAAAAACAACATAAATAAATTCAAAAGGATTGCATAATCGTGCCAATGCCCACACCCCACTTTTTTTGTAGTCATGCTTACGCTACACATTTGCCTCAATACAGTTTTTGAAGGCAGCTAAAAAAAATCGACCCCTTGGCTGGCCCGAAATGTATGTTAAACTCTACATAATAAATCATGGAGTACTACCGCAGTGAGTCAACAAGCTATTGAGGACAGTTAGAATTGTAGTCCGAACCGTCACCTAGCCACTTCAGAAGCGAAACTTTAAAAGAAGCTCAAGACTCTTAAAGCAGCTAAAAAACTTATATAACCAGTTTACAGTATGCGAAGCACTCCATTGACGTAAATTTTGCTGGGAGGTTGCTCGCGAACAGAGCAGTACACCAGTGCCTCAAGAATATAGGTGAATTGAGAAACAGGACAGACTCGCTGAATTGCGCAGAAAGTTCGCTGTCTACTGGAGGGCCTAAAATTGAAAAATTTTTAAAAGATGTCGTTGCCCATTCGTTTCAGACACTGAACATAGAATGCATTACTCAGTCGACAGCTAAGCCAGAAATCACCAAATTAGCCATGTCGCCATTCCTAATTTTAGGTTGCCATGACCGGGCCCCTCAAATTAGCCAATTTGGCAAAAATTAGCCACCAGTGACAATCCTGTTTGTACAATAAACATTTATTCCTTCTCCTTGAACATACCAAGAGTTTATTGACCAGCTTCCTGACCCTAAGATTCTATATACCTGCGGTTTAATTAATGTTCAACTTCAGCCACCATGACTGTGAGTGGTGCTTGCTTACACTTCCCGGATATATTTAAATATGTGTATTCAAGGAAGCAGATGGGGCAACAACCATTCTTAGGGCTTGATTGATAGAGCACAGCATGTATAATTCAGACACAATGCTTCCAAGACTAGATGCCCGCTATGCGAGCCAAAAAGCTTATTCCCAGCATTCTTCTCTTACACCTCTTCAAACAGTGGCAGCTTCACGTGCTTTTGTGGTAGCTGCCGTTCCAAGCCTTCCAGCCTCCAAGGTTTTCTGTAGTTCCAGAGGCAGCATTAGAGGTGTGTGGCGAGGCAGTTTTGACCGGCGGCAGCGTGGAGGTGATTACGAGTTGGTAGAGTTTTCCCGTCGACCGACGTGAAAACCAAAACTACAATTGAAAAAAAAAAAAAAAAGCTACTTTACTGTGTCTTCTCTGCTTATTTAGCTAAAATTCGGTACTTTTAACAGCAATGCCTGAGAGAACAGCATGGAGATGTAAGAGGACTGGTAAATGTTTTGTTTTTCAGCATACATATTGAATATATGTTCTTTCAGTGCGCCCCGTTTGTTCACATAGCTAACACTGTATCACAAGAAATTTTATTTCTTTTTACTCTCACAGCGATGCTGTTATATTGGCTATGTATTATTTTTTATTAACTAACACTTTGTATTGTTTTTGCTTCCAAGTAACTGTTAACATTTATTTATTATCATGTGTACCACTTTTCTCTGTAGTACCTTCCGGCCTTGAGGCTACTATTAAAGAAGTGAATAATGAAGGAGCCTCTTTTCAACGCGTAAATAGGGCAAGTGGAGGTCGCAGTCTTCGTGCGTGATGTACTGCTTTTTTTTTTTTTTTTTGAGTAACAGAGAGGTGGACGATATATGTAGGTCACAATGACATATAGTGATTCATGAAACACAGGAGAAAGGCGCTAAGTCGTCTCCCATGAGGGGACACTGCTCAGCGACTTATGATGCAAGTGCTACAATGAATACAAAGAAGCGAAATGAATATAGGACATGTGCTTTTCTCTGCTTCCATTTTCAAAGACTCCATTTTTGAAAGAGGCAAGGAAGTGCGGGTGGGAAGTGAGGTGGAGAGCAGTGCTTGTGTCTCGTTTGTTTGTGAGACCGCTCTTTATCTTCACACCAGCCCATACTCCCTCCCCATTTCTTTCCCTTATAAAGAGTACTAACACAAAATTTTGAAAGCGACATAACCTGTCAGATATATTTGTGTAGACACACACATCATCTACAAAATGTAGACAAATATTGTCGCTCAGAACATAATCAAAATCAACTTTGAATCGCATGTTGCCCTACGGCATACTAAATATGCCTTCTTTATTCGGGTAAACAACCAACCACCCCCTGCGCCATGAGTTTTTTAGCACAAAACAATGCATCAACAAGGCATTCAGAAGTGCCCGTCCCGTCTTTCTCATTTCTGTTAAAAATTTGTTTTGCGCTCCGTAATTTTCTAATCACCACCACATTTATTCATTCGAAAACGGAAGCGGCATCTCAGGATAGTGCTGCTCTGTTGCCTTGAAAGCCGCATGATTTATGAAGGTGGAATACACTGCTCATTCTCCATTGATTAGGTACATAATTGTAGATCAAACTCAATGCAAATCACAATATCGCGTAATAAAATTCTTTTGAGTTGCATATGTGCCAGAACATACTGCACAACCCACTTCCACGGCCTCTTAAAGCGACATTCATTTATTTCGAACAATTGTGAATTACACTAGACACACAATAATGGAGATACAGATAATTATCCAGTTTTTTCTCTTGTACCGCAATCCGATATGTGTTGTTCTCTCCTCTGGGGAAGATCATACGAGTTTGGTAGCATGCATGAGCATAAATTGTTCATTCTACTTTGTAATAGTCTGCGAATGGTGTGCTCTATAAATGCATTACCTATTAGCACTATAGTTGAAGCCAGTGCGATGCATAAAATCTTTATAACATCACCAAAAATTAC